AAATCGTTCATTGTAAAAACATAAAAAAAATTCATTTAACCGTTGTTTTTAATTTAATTTTCTATACATTTTTAATTCGACATTTTTTCTATTATTTATTATTCAAAACCTACAATTTTTTAAATTTTAATTTTAAAAAAATTCATCAGAGTAAAATTAATACAGTCTCAGTTTCACATTGAAGCTAAAATAATGTTAACTTACAAATTTATATACAACAAGAAAATATATATACTTGTAATAAAAATACATAATGAACGAATATTATTTAACTCTTTGACTAACAATTCAAATTGGCCCCGAAACAAAAAAAAATTTCAAACAATAAATGGCCTTAGCCATCCAATGAGCATGATGGATTGGGCCAGGAATTTTATAATAAATTTTATATAAAGGTGTTTCACCAAAAACTATTATGACCAATTCTAAAAGTTTCTTATAGTCATTTCGAGGTTAGTATTTTTGTAATTGTTCAAAACTAAATTTCAAAATATCGTCTTTTATGTTTTTAATTTTTCTAAAATAACAGTATCTTCTATTACACTTAAGTAATTTGTTTTATTTATATTTTGCCAAGACTTTTGGAATTTATAGAAAATAGGAACATCTGGTTCAGATGACGTGTTAAATTTTACTTCAAAAACACTTTTCAATATAATTTCATAAATGTGATGTCTGCATGGTAAGTATAAAATAACACGCCCTAACATTTGCATGGAATTTATTTTAAAATTCCTGACCCAATCCATCAAGCTCGTTGGATGGCCAAGGCCATTTATTGTTGGAAAATTTTTTTGTTTCGGAGCCAATTTGAATTGTCAATCAAAGAGTTAAATATTCGTTCATTATGTATTTTTATTACAAGTTTATATATTAAACAATGGTTTAGTGCACCAATGCTGCATTAGCGCCAAATTTAGATTTACAATTTATTAAAAATATAATTGATTATGAACCAATAGATAAAGATATTTCTAAAGTAGTTTTAAAAAAAAATTTCGGGTCACTTATGGTACTTAGTTTCCGAATCGGTAGCATTGTCATTTTATTATGATGATTTATGTGTAGATACTAAAATTAAAATGGTAAACTCATTAAATAATCGGGAAGAAGATCCATGTACAAACAAACGTATAGTAATAGAAGTAAATGAAATTTATGATTTTAAAAATAAAAGTATAGATGATTTTATTTCAACTGAGTCAAAAAAGTTGTTTGAAAGATATGACATTGAAACAGATTTTTTAAATATCAATCCTTTGTCGTGGGAAGACAACAGTCAATATATCAGAGGAAAAATAATAGTAAATATTTTAAAAATTATAAATGATATTTTAATAATATTTTAACAAAAGACGAAGCACAAAAACAATACCTATTACAGATTGTTACAGAATACCGACGTTGTTTTCCTAATTGCAATAAAAGCACATTATGCCAAGAATTTTAAAAAAGATAAATTATTTAAAATATGTAGTAAATTTTTTTAGTACGCTTTTTTTTGTAAATAGTTTCTGGTTGTACATAAATTTGTAAGTTAACATTATTTTAGCTTCAATGTGAAACTGAGACAGTATTAATTTTACTCTGATGTGTTTTTTTTTAATTAAAATTTAAAAAAATTGTAGGTTTTGAATAGTAAATAATGTGCTTTTTTTATGTCTGTCGCCACCTTTTCTCAGCTCTCCCCAAACCAATTTCTTTCAACGATACATCAATAGATCAAAAATTGTATTTAGTTGAAGACATTGAACATAATAATTCAATAAAATTTCCCTCGATCCCTGTAAATAAGGGAAAATCCTTCAAAAATTATGATTTTTGAAATCGGTAATTTTTGACTTTTTTTTTTATAAAACTGTTATAACTTTTTGAAACATGAACGAATCAAAATATTTTTTTTTTATGTTGAAACCTTGGGTATTTCCCTTTTATTTAATATAATTTTGTTGAAAATTTAACCTATAAAGATTTCGTTACGTATTATAAAGTAATAAGAAAATTATCTCTGTTCACGCCAAGTGTGAGAGCTGCACTGGTTCGATGTGGTCAGCTTATAGTGCTTGTGCGTTATCAGCTGTTAGGACGCCTAATCAGTGGCCCGTGTTGTTCGGTCTTTTTTTATTCAAAATTTAATATATGTACCTGTTGTAAAATTATACAATGTTTGGTTAAATTGGCTTGTTAGTTAAGTGATATTTTTTTGTATTATTGAAAGAAAAAAACGTTGTTCAAATTTTATGTCAAAATACATTATCCATATTATTTTCTGAAGGCATACAGTTGTTTTTATTTTTTTCTTTTACATTGGCTGGTACATTATTACAATAAAACTGCGGGTATTGTATTACTGTTATAAATTATAATTAATTTTATTCATATGGAGCATAAGTAAATGTAAGTAGTATGGATTATCATATTTATTAATTATTTAATTCAGCAAATAATAAAAAATTGGTTTTTGTTATTTTAATTAGTTCGTTATATTTATTAAGTTAAACAATCTTATTTTGGATTAACAAAAAATATTTTTCATTTAACAAATTTTAAATTGATTAAGAAAATTTTGTTGATTACTAGTTGCCCCTATTTTAAGCCGTACGGCGAAGTTCTGTTTCCCATTTTTATTTGGGATTTTTTAGAACAGCCCAGGCGGCAACAATCTCAATGACTTATTTTCTACGTTTAAATGGTTACCGCAGTTCAAAAAATGCTATTTTTGTGTTAAAATTTTCAATTTTATACTTTCAACTTTAAATTGCTTTCAATTTTTGAAAAATATATGGGTTAACACAAATTATTTTTTTGAAATACATTATATACTCTAACACCCCTTTCATGCGATATACTTTTTTTTTTAATCGGTCAATTTCCCTTTTATAGGAGGCGTTCAAAACTTGAAACATATGTATAAAAAACATTAAATAATTAAATAATAATAATAAATCAAAATTAATTATTTAATAAAATCCACGTTTATTTTTAGCATTTTTGGGTAGAATTTTTGACAAGTAATAGCACAATATTATTGTGCTATTAGATAACAGTGTCAATAGGCGACATTATTCTACATCATGACATCGTTTTGGTTAGTGTATAAAGTGTCGTAATTGTTTTTATTGCTAAATAAAAGAAATAATTTTAAATTGTTCCGTCGTTAAAAATAATGAATTTCCAAGTCGGATCTACTAGATGTACTAGAATAGTTAAAAGGTGATTGCTTCTTCAATATATTAATGGGCAAGTGCAGTTGAGTAATTTTATATCTTTTAGACGCGTGACATTTTAATAATTAACGGTTAATTATAATAGGAAAAAGTATTATTTCTATACATTTTTTTAAAGATTCTTCTTTTTATAAATTATATGATATAGCATTAAATTCTCAACTCCTTACTATATTTAATGTAAATTTTATAACATGTAAAAACTAAAATATATTCCAAAAGCCTCAACGAATAATATTTTATCACTATTTTATACAAAAATTGATAGCTTCACACTCTTTTCAAAAAGTGGCATGCAAACTTTGTTAGTGTAAGTGAACCAAATTAATTATAAGTTTTTAACAAACCTTTTATTATTGATAATTTCTGATCGGTAACAACTTTTGGATTACTGAATTTATTAATAGTTTAAAAGAATGACTGGAGTCGAGGAGTAGGCGCAGATATTTTTATCACTAGCCATTTCACAGTAGTTTTGTTCGTCCCGCTTTAGTATAAAAATGAGAATGTTGGGCAGAGTGTGGCAATAGTTGATACCCGTCCTCACATTTTCGTGTATGACCGGTTCGAACATGTTCGTGCCACGTACGTTCGGCCGTCGTCCCTTCCTTAGTGAGCGTCATAGTTTGTTTTGTATGTACACAGTACAAGCGTATCGCGTCTCTTACAATCGGCATCCGTACAATTATTATTCGCTTTTTTTATAGTCTTTTTTTAAATTGTGTATTATTATCTTACGTTCAATATAAGTTGCTTTGCCACTCTCTTCGATCTCCTCAAGCCATCAAGTCATCAGATAAGTTATTAATTTTCATTTTGTCATTGTATCATATCATAAGAGTCATCTTGTTTTAGTGTGCAAGTTATCCCACTTTTCCCTATACTTTTAAGAGTTCTATTACTTGCAGAACTGTAATACATAGATTCGTATTTTGCACATTCATAAGAAGGTGTATCTAATTTTTCTTACCCTCTCTTATTTCCTCACTTTTTGGTTTTTTACAAATAAACCACACTATCGCACATTAACAGGTAATCCCTCTTTAATATTAAGGGGCTGCTTGTCACAAAGAATATCATCCAACGTACTGGTCCAAAAAAGTTGTAATCGACCAGTCAGAAACATACGTTTCGGCGCATGGGGTCTTGGGTTCGATCTCCAGGGAGTCAACGAGATTTTTCTTGTTATTTTTTCATTGATTGTGTCTAGTCTCTGGTGCAAATCGATCTATCTAATATCTGTCCGTCCATCATTTGCCTAACCAAGAGTATTCAGAAATATTAGATATTCCTAATAATTTCTAATTTTATGACACAGAAGTTAGTTAGTAGTTACATGTTGTTTTAGCGAAACGAGACTATTTCAAATTTTACATTCTTGAATAATTATTATTCATATTATTAATAAGTGTACTTTAATGCAAATTCAGAATTAAAAACAAGGTTATTTAACCAAAAAAAACCATTCCATTGCAACTAATGAAAAATATTTCAATAAATTGTCTTCTTTGCAAGTTTATTACAATTTAACCTGAATCTGACCGTTTCAGTTATGTACTTTTAATTTATATGTATGAATTATCATTATTAAAACGGATAACAGCTCTATATAACCTAGTGTTTCATAATTTTACACCTTTTTATAGGTGTCTAAAAAGTAAAAAGTGTTTCGCTGTTCTAGAATATTATTACAATACTTAATCAATTATTATAACGGTGATCTTATGATATTATAAGATTATTATAGTTTATTATTATTATTAAAGGTGATTATTAAAATGACTTTTTTTTTTATTTATCAAATTTTTCTTTTTTAGCAATTATAAACATTTTTGTAACAAAATTAATACCTTTCTTAGCTCCTCCCGGAATAACAGTTGTACAATAATAAAACCTATTATCTCCTAAACTAACTTTATTATCAATATAATTTTAACAGTGATTTATATATTCAAATTGTTAAATTGATATAATTTAAATACATGAATGATTATTTTAATTTCCATTATTTATTTTTTTTTTTTTAAGGTCAGCAAATTTTTCATGATATTTATACCCGATTATTTCTCTGAATTCTAAAAAAAAAATTAAAAAATATCATTGATTAAAAGTAACTAGCTATCAGTTTTTCATTTAATTCATAGTATAACATAACTTAAATAATTAATAGAACATCTTTATATCTTCTATATATTTTTCGATGATCTTTTTAAGTTTTATTAACGATTATGAAATTTTTTTGCTGATGAAAAATGTTTTATTAAGAAATTTTGTTATTATAATAACTCGTATAAAAGTAAAAATCTTATAAAATCATTTAATATTTTACATAAATAACATGTATAAAAAATTATGGCATTTTATTATAATTAAATAGAAGAAAAATTGTAAGGTTTAAAAAGAATGTTTATTTTTTGCCTTTATATAATTTAATATTCGTTTAAATAAATTTAAAAAAAAATCTTTTCACTACTAAAGGTATATTCTTCTTTTGAAAAAATTAATTGGGTAATTAATCATATGTTATCTTACTAATATATCGTGTATATCAAATTGAATTATTAATTTCAAAAGTTACTAAATTAAAAATAATGTCTAATACATAATTTTATTTAGTGAACACTTATTTTATATCATGTAAAAATAGAAAGAAATTAAGGGGCAATAAGATCGAGCAGTAAAAGAGAAATTTCATGTGGCTTGATGACATATGGGAATCATTTGCAAATAGTTCAATTTGGTGGCTATAAATTAATTCAGTAAATGGTGAGGACATTCAACTTTTTCATTCATTGACAAATTAACTATCGATTTTGGAGTTAAAAAAAACTTTTTGGAAGATAATACATTTGCCTTAGATGAGTAAGAAAAGTATTATATATAATATTTATTTTACCTTCCATTTTAATATCTTGTTTGTCTTTAACTTTAAAACGAGTCATTAATGTACAAGCATCTTCAAGAGTGAGGTCGAATTTTACTTTTTTAAGAGCTTCTATTAAATTATTTGAAGTCATCTTATTTTTTTTATTGAGAAATTTCTTATAATGATTTTTAATTTTAGACTCGATTATTATGATAAAATTCAACACATGTTTCTTAAATTGATCAAAATTCATAAATCCGTTTACTTAAAAAAACAAAAACTATATGTTAATTCATTTTTATATAAAAGTAAAATATTAATACCAATAATAATATCATTCATAATAATCACTCCTCAATAATTAAATGGCACTTAATATTTTTAATTTATCGTATAATATAAATAATAATTGATAACTGATATAATTTTTTATATTACTTGAAAATCTAATAATACTTGCTAAGGCTTTTTAATAATTCACGATGTATTAGTGTTATTTGGAGCAAATATATCAAAACATTTTAAATTTCACAAAACTCATATAAATTACACTTTGAGTTCACTAAATATTAGTTTCAAATATTTTTAAAATTATTAATTATTTATAACTCAATACAATGTATTTTTATGATATTAATCAAAACAAATGTCCTTTTTTGGGGATATCTCGATTGCGTTAGAAAAAAAATAAATGTTTTCATCAGAGATGTATTTAGAGTTTTCACCCACCCGGTAGTCTCATTACCACCCCTGTATACCTCCGTATTGATGGTATATATGATATATTATAAAAAAATTCTCATTAATGTATGGTAGTTTATTTTCTATAACATTTTAAATTTTATAAAAATTTGAATTTACTTTATTTACTCTACACTAAGTATCAAACACTGGTTATGTTTTATAAAAATGTACAGAACTAAACACAATCTTTTCATACTAAATAAGATATGGATATGGATTTTTCCATGAAAATTGATAACATTCTAATGACCGGCTTTAATTCAAATAAAAACAGGAACAATAATTATTCTAACTAAATTAGAGTTTATTTTTTTGAGTCAAGATTGATATTATACTAATATTTATACTAGTATTAATACGATAATAAGAAATTTGATAAGGCAATTATCAAATAATTCGAGAAATAGCACATTGCGTCTGACTAACTTTAAATATTCTCATACCTTATGGAATTGAAACTTATGACCTAAGTATAAATTAGTAAAATAATTTCTCTTGAATTTAAATTAAATTTCATTACTGAAGAAACATATGGATTAATTTATTTATTCTGTTGTAGTACTTGTATTATTATTACTGAACACTCTTTTCTCACTCATCTTATAGTATGCATAAAAAGATAGTGTTTTTTTCTGTCCTATCCTCAACACATATTTCTATGTTTAATATCGTTAAATAATACATGAAAATTGAAATTTTCACAAACTTTAAAAACATACAGACTTATGATTACTTAAGATGAGAAAGTAATTCTCATCTTTTACCCAACTCACCGTCGCTTTATTTTATTTTGATTTACGATAAAATTATAACTGTTCATAAATATACAAATCATACGAAAGCAATTTTTTTAAATGATTAAACAAGCTAATGAAAAATTCATAATAAATGTTCAAATATAGTCATACCATGTTGACTAAGTGTATAGCAATTTAATTTTTCAAAATGTATTTTATATTTCCTATCATTATATACTCAATAATTATAATTTTATGATCCTGTATAAATAATGATTACATTTATTTATAAGATTAAAACCTTAAATAATGTGAGATAAAACCTCATATTTAAAGTTTAAATCAATTAATTATTGTACCTATTTAAATGAACGATACAGTGAATATATATGCAAATACATTAAATTCACAATAACAGTTATAATAGTATTTGTTGAAAATAAAATAAAATTTAATGATCATTATTGAAGTTTTACTTACTGTCATTAACTTCATTCTTGAATAGTTCTTCGATTTCATTATCGTTTTTACGGTGTAACCATCTAAAATTGTTCAGTAGTATTTTAAATTCATTGTAGTCCATACCTTTTATTTTATTATTTGTATTTGATAAAAAAATATTTTCCAAACGGGATGACGCTAGTTCAATTAATTCGTTTTTCTAAAAACAATTATATTACAATAGAAGTATTATAATCAACATTAAAGGACAAAAAAATAAATTTAACATGAAATATTGAATGTATTATTTTTAACATAATAAAAGAGAGGAATTGGAAGCTGTAAGATAGTTATAGAAATGAATGTCGAAGGAAGAAGAGTTAGATGAAGACCAAAAAAAAGATGGAAGGTTGTAATTGAATGTGATATGAGGACGGCTGATGTGAGCGTAAATGATCTGGTAGATCGTGTCAAGTGAAAGTTTAGGATAAGGGTGGCCGACTACAAGTAGTTGGGATTAATGCGTGGAAAGAGAAGAAGAAGAAGATTAAAAATCAAAATCAAGTTTTAAATGTAAATAATCGTTTTAAAAATTAATAATAATCTCAAAAAAAGAGGCAATAAAAGAAATCCAACTGCAGATTTGAAATCTCTAAAGCGTGGTTCAGCAATGTATATTTGGTCTATGCTGATTAAAAAATGTTTCATTTTAGTGATATGATTTCACTGTGTAAATAAATATAAATACGAAATTTATACTCATATTTTTGTGGAGATAAGTAATTAAAAAATTTTTTTTTGAAATTGTCATTTTTCACAATATATTTGACTAAACTTTGAAAATTAAGGGATTTTTTCTCCTAATTTTTCTTTTAAAGAAAAATGAAGAGCTGAGAAATATTAACTACTGACAAAAAAAGAAACTATATAGTAAAATATTTTTAATATGAATAAGAAATTCCTTCACAAGAGAATAAACTATAGTGATGAGGTCCTTGGTATTTATTGAAGTTATTCAATCTAAGTGAGACAAAAATCAAATTTTGATAAGTAAATTCATTATAGTTCACACTGTAGATAGTGCACTGCTTAAGGTTCGAAACTCGATCACTGGCGGCTTCATTTGTCGAGCGAGAGATCAGTTCGGTAATTGGAATCGCCATCCCTCTTTCCGGCGACGGACTAACCACCTGTCCCCGAGTATCAATGATAAGAAATCTCCAATTGATGTTAAAAGTCAAAAGAGCAACATTTTTTTTATACTAGTGAAAATTCTAATAAAATGACAAATATAGTAAGAAAAACCTTTATTTTAATATTTTCTTCAATGATTTTTATTTATATCAATGTATCAATTTTTTATATTTATGTGTTCTTCGTTGATTATTATTTTATATGATACTATTTAAGTAAAAAACACTACCTAATTATTTTAATAAATTAGAATACGATAATTGTCGTTTATATTAAAATCAAATCATAAAGTTTTTGAAGACAGAACTTGACGAGAGGGTCCCAATATTATCAAAAGGCCTTCAGTTGGGACATTGTACGAGCTGCACCTGTATTGTTGCCGAAATGTAGTTGAGTAATGTCAATCTTATGAAAACTGTTAAAAACTGGCAATCGATACACAAAAGAAAAATACCAATAAAATAAAATAAAAAAACATAATAAAATGATATCTTCTCAGTTTCGCATCAAAGCTAAAAACTTTATTCCTACTAGTATTAATAAAAAAACCTAGCACAGGAGGTTAGCGTATAATGCAAACAAGTATAGATGATATTTTACAGTGATTAAAATCACTATTATAAAAAACGCTTCGATGCAAATCTATGAATAGTATTTAATTTTTAGAAAGAATTATTGAATTATTCCAAAAGCAACGTGAATTCTTTTTCATTATTTATATTCTTATGTAATAAAACAAAAAGAAAATAATTATGTAAAAATTTCTTCTTAGTATTTTTTATTTTTATAGAATATGATTTTCATACTAAATTACATTTTAGTTTCGATGTGTTTATTTTTATTTGTGTCTGTCACTACTTTTTCTCAAATCTCACTGGACCGATTTCTTTCAACGATACGCCAAAAGATCACTAATCGTATTTAGTTAATGACATTACCCTTAAAAATTGAAAAAATTTCCCTCGTTCCCTGTAAATTCCCAATAAAATTTCAATTTTTAAAATAAAGGACACATTATCACGCATTGTTCTAGGTTGGCCCTCGCTCGTGTCTCTCTCGATATCAGCCGTCCACCTATCATTATGAAAATCGGTTGTTATTTGACATCTCTCAACCCTTTAACACCGTGACAAGGCCGCCACCGACTGTATATTACTGATGATATTAACTAGCCTTTCGTTTTGTTTACTGAATTTTGTTTTTCCGTTTCTTCGGATTATAGACAAGACCAAGCGTATTTAAATTTCTGTTGTTTTGTTTTGATCTTGGATATGTGTGTTCGACTCACATCAGTTATTTTTTGTGATATTCATATGTCGCCAATAGTTATTTATTTATCAACCAATCACCGTACCTTGTAAATACGCGACATAGGTAAATTTTGACATTTTTTTCTCTTAGAACTGCCATAACTTTTTCAAAAATAAACAAATTAAAATGATTCTATTTTATATTGATACCTTAGGTATTTTACTTTCATTTAACATAATTTTTTCCAAAACTTATCCTTTAACCACCCACAGAAGTGGATTTAAAATAGCAATTTTTTCACAAAAGTCAATTATTTCAACTTAACTTTTGTAAGTGTTCTGGAAATACTGCGTTCTTTAATCATATTTTACTTATATATCACAAAACTTGTAATCAGATTATTAATAAAAAAATAGAAGTTCATGTTGTTTTTGAAATAATTCACCAATTTCTAAAAATTAAATAGTATCTACAGATTTGCATCGAATCATTTTTAATGATAGTGATTTTGATCTGTGTCAAATATCATCTATAATGTTATGAACTATTGCACATAAGTTGTGGTGGTGATCCAGCACATAGCTGACCACTCGACTTGTGTAAATTCGGGTATAATATTTTTAATAATAATTAGTAGTGGTAGTTCCGTCGCCGTACTATTAAGAGTATTGACTATTATTCCGATTATTTTTTTGATTCAGATATGTTAATTAAAATAAACCAATAATAAGTATTGATTACTGAATTTGTTTCTTAAATCCCTCTCGCTTAATTTAAGAACTTAACAACTACACTTAAGTTTGACGCGACTTACGTCGTAATAATGTAGCCGACACAATTTAATTACAGAAGTCAGTGCGGTGCCGTTTATTCGAACAAGATAATATAGTAATTACAAGTAACGTGCACAATAACTAAAAGAATTGACAAAAAAAATAAACACAGATGCGTTGATGTTGTAAAGAAACGGTGCGATGGTAACTGTGTTTTTTCACGATTGGTGTAGAGCGGTGTCAAGGAGATGATTTTGACTGAACTAATTATTGCGGCGGATATTCGACGTTAGGCATTTATTGGACTTTACACCACGACGATAGCGCATGTGTGTAACGGTCCGGTGTACAGTGGAGCGGTGGCTGAGAAGGAGCTGACACGACCGCGGGGTGTCAACTGGTGGCCACGCCGTGGCCGTGTCAAGTTTAATTATATTCAACAGAAGACTCGACACCGCTCGCCGACAACTCACAAAAGGTGAGACTAACCCAAGGAATCTGTGACGGCGGAACAAACCGAGATCATAACAATACTTGTCCTACTGTGCTGGTTTTTTTTTTAACCCAAGAATCATTCAAATCAGACCTAGATATTTGGTAAAAAAATGGTACGATAATAAAACAATTGGTCCTATACCTAAATAAATAACTGCATTTCAACAATAATTAACAATTTTTATGAAATGTTGCTTCTCGAATAAAACCATACCATATATTTTTATACTAAAAGTAAATTTTAATTAAATTTGATAAGTGGTGTAGCCCAGTACTCTAAGTACTAAAAAGTATTTTTTTCGGAAAATCATATATCTAAGTAAGACAAAATAAAAAATAATCTATAACTCAATAAACATCTAAATATTCCTAAAAATTAATTTTCTAATTAGAAAACATTTAACAACTAACTTTTACTAAAAATTTAATGATATCTACTTACCTCATTCAAAGGATTAGAAGAGAAAAGAAGTCCATTTGAGAAACTACTCGCTAGATACATAACAAAGAAAATGTAGAAATACATTTTTGGATTGATAATCGATCTATTCGAATAAATCTGATAACTAAAACTGTTTAAATAATAGAATAATTGAAATTCTATTCATTTAATAAAAATACTATATTTAATTGCTACTAAATTTATCATTAAATAGTCATAAAAACTTAACTAAAAATCTAAAAAAAACTGATTAATATTATTTCTGGTTACTAATTTATAAAACCTTACGTCGTTAAACATTAATTTTTTATCATTTTGCAAAAAAAGTATATATGTAAGTGCGATTTAAACACACGTGTGTCAACAAAAACACTTAACTATTATTTTCCCTTTAATTATATTGAATATCAATTTATTTATTTCACATAATTTTAATTTTTTATTTCAAATTTATTTTGAAAACTTGGCTTAATTGAATAGTTTATGACCTAACTGATGACGGTTTTTACAACATTTTACCTTCATAACTTTTTCTATCACTTCTAAGTTTTAATAATTAACTAAATACAAATTGTAATCATATGGCATATTGTTGAAAAAAATTGATAATAGTAATTAAATTTAGTATTAAATTGATGTTCAATAATTTAATATTGAAATTTATACGGAGAAATTATAAAAATACTAAATTAGTTGTATATTCCTTTACTTTTAACGTGTATAATAATTTAAATGGATTGAAGCAATTCTTTTTAATAAAAATATACCAAATGATGGACAAAGACATCATGCATCTATGTAAAAAAATTATATAAATTTGGTCATTTTTGATAAATTTATAGCAGTTAACATAGTTTCAAGTTTTATACACTGTACCTAAGGCACTTTCATCAGAAGCAAAAATATACTTTTCTGCATCGCAACTTATTGCGATGCTGTAATGTGCAATTATAAAAACTGATTTTGATTAATAATATGTAAAAATAAGGAAAAACATATTTAACCTATATTTGTAATTCTTTAAAGTTGATTTATGTGAAAGTTTATAATAAAAAAAAATTTATTTATTACCATAACTTTTAGCTCAATTTACAAGTTTGAAATATATAAATAAAAATAAATAAAAAATTTTATTAGAATTTAAAAAATTGTATCGTTAAGATATTTATGTAGTCAGGAAGTTTTATAATTACTATTTATTGTAAATTTATCAGAAAAGCTCGATATTTTTTTGCATTTTATCGTAATAGATTACTTAAGTAGAAATAATAGTAATCATTTCCTAGTAACTTTTGGTGTTAAAAAAGATTCTACTATTATATATTCAGAACTTAATTAATTTAAATGATTTAATTTAACTAAAAGAACCAATCAAAACAAAGTTATTTAAAGGATTTACTCAAATGAGCGTATTATAAAATTAGATTATAATTGTAAAAATCCATTCTTAATTCAGGAGAAACTAAAAAAATTATTATATTACAAAGTAAAATGATTTAATTTTGTAGTTGAAACCTATCATATTAACTGTTTCATTGATAGATTAGATTTTTTTTTTAATTTTTGAGGGTAATATCTTCAACTAGATACGAATTATAGTCATTTGACGTATCATTGAAAAAAGTAGATCAAGTTAGAACAGAGAAAAATAAATGATGCTCACAAAAAAATATCTTCTCAGCTTTGCATCGAAGCTAAAACTTAAAATATAGTAAAATAATTTTGTATAATAAATTATAATTTAAAATATGAATAAGGAATTTCTTCTCGCAAATGGCGACTACAGTGATGGGATCCTTGATCTTTATTGAAGTTATTGAATCTAATTGAGATAAAAATCGAAGCAGTTGAAAATTTATTCTAACTTAAAAAGAATAAAGAAAAAATGCAAAAAATTCATTGCCGTATACTGTAATAAACAAAAAGAAAGTCAGGGGTTGGGTGGTAGTGGTGGTCTTGTAATAAACTAAAAGGTAGACTGGCTGGTAGCAAAGGAATGTTGTTAAATGTGTTTGGGGCTCGGGGTGTGAAAGGGAAGAAATGTAAAGAGATGTAACACAGGTGGCCAATAAGGAAATAATAATCGTAGCAGGCGTAGGGTAAAAAGGATGGGTACCAATGGAAAGTAAAAGTGTCTATAGATACCCGGTAGTGACTACAATAAAATGAAATAGAAAGGGATCTCGGGGTAAGTATGCTTGTGTAAAACGTCTAATGTATGAATAAGATGGGATTACAAAGAACGGTCACTACCTAGCTCCTGCACAGAAACGCGCACACTAATTTCTGGCGAGTCACAAGTATCGTGTTTTTTATAAAAAATTTTAGTTTATTCTCAATTCTTGTTCTAATTGTTTATTAATAAAAAATTCTTCAGTAAAGGATCTATTATAAACTTATTATATGAACAAATGTTTCACTTACCTCTGATTATCCTGATATTCTCTTGAGATGAATGATGTTGTTGATGTAATGATTATCGATGTATACGTTTACGCATTAATGTACGCAATTATATGTATACGGTTTATATTATTATTAACTCGCGTGTAACTACTTTTCTAGTACAATTCTATATTAAATCTACCCAAGATGAAGTCTAAGTTTATTATAACTCTGTCTTTTTGTAAAAAACTTTTGTATATTGGTGTAGTATAGTTCTTAACCTTGTATATGGTGTTTTACCTTAATATATTTATTATTTAATAATTTATAAAGCAAATAAATAACTTCTAAGCAACATAACTGTCCTGTGCAACAAACTATTTCCAAGTGGCCTACGTCTTTTCAGTCGTCCAAATAGTGATCTAGGGTAGATGCGAGCTCAATTTCAGTTCTTTGCACAATAGATTATACTAGTGTCCTACACTCCGATTGCCCGCACTTTGGCTGAGATCAGACTAGCTGGTCGATAAGTGGAGAGACACTTTTAGTTGTTTAGTATAATGTTAGTTATAAATATATATTAGTAAAATATTAGTTTTTAGTATAATATTTCGACTCTGATTTATTTGTATTTCGTAGCTGGATATACCAACGCGAGATCTCAAATAATATCTTTGTCTTTATGCAAAGAACCTTATGATATGTGGCCTACTTCTTTTCAATCACCTGTAGGACGACCTAGGTTAGATGCGACTGTACTATAGATTTATGCGCGATAAGTTATGTTAGTGTCCTACACTCCGATTCCCCGCACTGTGGCAGAGATCAGACTAACTGGTCGATAAGTGGAGAGACACTATGAAGAAATCTTATGGTTAACTAAAATTCTAATTATGATATTATTGTACTATTACCCTGTCCAGCCAGGTTGTGGCCCTTCAATAAGTAGTAAATACAATTCAATCAAATTAATTACCTTAGAATATCTAATGTATACTACAAAATAATATTAATAATTTATGCGTTGTAAATTATATTAGTGTCCTACACTCCGATTGCCGGCACTGTGGCATAGATCAGACTAGCTGGTCGATAAGTGGAGAGACACTTTGAATAAATCTTATGATTAACTAAAATTCTAATTATGATATTATTGTACTATTACCCTGTCCAGCCAGGTTGTGGCCCTTTAATAAGTAGTAGATACAATTCAATCAAATTAAGTACCTTAGAATATCTAATGTAAATTACAAAATAACATTAATAAGTTATGCGTTATAAACTATATAAGTGTCCTACACTCCGATTGCCCGCACTGTGGCAGAGATCAGACTAGCTGGTCGATAAGTGGAGAGACACTTTGAATAAATCTTATAATTAACTAAAATTCTAATTATGATATTATTGTACTATTACCCTGTCCAGCCAGGTTGTGGCCCTTCAATAAGTAATAAATACAATTCAATCAAATTAATTACCTTAGAATATGCTTATATATATATATATATGAATATAAATGTAAATAAAAAGAAATAAATAAACACCAATATTTTATATGTGTTAGAATATTTATATCACCAAAAGTATTCGACCGAAAATAAGATGTATAATATTTTCAGTAATTACGAAAGAGGGTAAAAATTATGTAGATTTCATATAGAATTGTAGCTAAGAATGAAACATAAACTCACGCATATTCACTTTTTTATGTCTTGGTTGAGTATTCCAGAGAGCCGTAGAGATGCATAGATGGAATGGCAAGGCGTCCCAGTATCCGCTAGAGGGATGTTCAGAAATCGTATATAACCACTGTAAGAGAACCAAGTGCAAAGGAACCACCCGAATTTGGGGGAAAATGGCCTTTTTATAGCCTGCAAAAACTGGTTTAGCGATCTCTGGTGAGATTCTTGAAATATTTTTGCTGTATTTGATTGGTTAATGTGATAGAATCTTTTACGTGGGCGTTTTATGGAATGCGTAAGAGGGAGGTTAAATCTTGTGTAAGGGTATTATTTTATTATTCATCTTATCCACGGGGAAACACTGATTTGGTGATATATTTTATTAAATATAAGTATTAATTATTACATGTATTAAAATGTGATACTACAATACGGGTTGGAACATTGTACCCCAAGCGCCTTTGACCGATTCGGCAACCGTACGTCGTATCCAAAAAAAAATGGCAATTTAAGCTAATTCGACTTTCAATGTTATTTTTCTCTTCTTAAAAAAAGCAAAAATAAAATTTAAATAAGTTTAACTTTCTATGCTATATTCTTCTCAGCTTCGTATTGAAGCTAAAATTCAAATGTCATTTACTATTAAATTAAAAATAAGTGTTCCTATTTGAAAAAACAATGTTGATACCCTTACAAGGAATCCTCATTGGATGATTTTAAAAAGTATTACATAGTTTAATCACACATGATTATCTATTAAAATTCAGTTTCCAGTAATTTATAATGAAATAAAAGCATTGGGAAATTCTTGAAAATGGCTAATTTGCGTCTAATGCAGGTCATTTTATTTAAGTAAAAGTTAATAATAGAAATTAATCACAATACGACTTTTCTCTATGCTGCAAAAACTTAATATGGTTTATTATACATATCAAATTTTATTATAGTGTGCGTTTCGAACGAGATATTTATATATTTGAATGATTAGCTGTCTCGCTCAATTAGTAACAATTGCAATGGTCATATAATAAATACATAAAAGGTTACACAAAGTGTACACCAGTTGAAGACATTTTACGAAAAGAATCCTTTATTGTAATTTGTTATGCTTAATTATGCGCCGGTCTTTGAGGGCTGTGGCGACTGTCAGTTATTTAGTTCAATTCATTTTGTTGTTTTGATCTATTTGAATCACAGTTTTTCTTTTACTTTTACTAATGACCATTTTTTTCTATACATTTTTTACACTTATTACTGTTTATGTAATGTAATATAAAAATAAATTCTCTCTTTGAACCTCGTGTATAGCGTATTTTAATTTCACCTTTAATTAACGAAATCTGAATGAATATAAATTGGATATACCGAAATAAATTGATAATCGATAAGTAAAATAAAACAATGTAATTATAGCATACATAGGACTATGCCCCCAAGTTTAATAAATTTAAATGCCGTAGTAACCCAACCGTGTTAGACCGAACAAAATAATATAATATTGTCAAAAATATATCGGACTTGCCGAATAAAAAGATAATTATGCCGAAAAATAAATTAACTAACGACTCACTGAAACTAATAATCATAATAAAGTATATATGTACTTTACAGTATATATGTATACTGTATATTACAATAGTAATCGCATTAATGAATTAATTTTCTATCTATAAATTACTCACCCAATAGTCGACAACAAAGGGCGGGTAGAACACAAATATCCGCAGTTCGTGTTAATTTGATGTCTCGATGATCAAGTCGCTATAAATTACACGAAAGCTGTGATTTGGATGATCTATAAGATAAGGACTGTAGCTCAAAATTAAATAAGTGAAGTCACGGTGATGGTCGAAACATAAATAAATTGTATCGGACGATACCGAAAATAATATATAATGTTGTATAAAACAGTGTGACGAAACATAGCCATTAGTGTAACGTGGACTTGTAATAGATTTTAATATGATGATACACATCAGAATAACATGTACATGGATAATAATATTATTTTATTTTTCTTGTTAGTTAGAATTCAGCCAAGGATCGTTACCAAAGGACGTATAAAACACAGGTGCATACGATTCGTGAAATTTCGACATTCCGAGGGCCAGTCGTTACATACACATATGACCGTGAGCGAAAATATCTAAAAGCGAGTCAGTACTAACAGTGGCTGGTAATAAGATGTGACCTTGGCATTGGTGATTAAATAATATGTTCGCATGTAGCATTGCGTGCGGTTTGTAGTGGTGATGTCGGTGACAACGACTGGTGAATGCAGCGTATACACTTGATAGATTAATATTTCACCGGATTTTAAAAATTTAACAAGGAGAATGTTGAAATATAAACGGGCAAGTTATATAATGATAATATTTGCGTTAGCAATATTTATAAAATTCTATTTTTCAGGGAGAAGGATAGAAACGTAGCCCGTATTTCAAAATAAACAGGTCCTGTGATGGCGAAGATTAATATCTTTGTGATGGCTAATATTATCTAAAATTATTAAACTGTAATTATATTTTTTTAAATGATAATATTTTAGAGGAGATTGGGGCAGATTTGAATGAAAATTACGTTTTGATTTAAAATTTTTTTTTTTTTTGCATTTAATTTGAAGTATAATTAGGTCCTATTAGATCCTCATAATATTTTAACAACACACTGTAACTATTAAAAATCCATATCACTGAATAATATTTTATTATAAAATGTTAAACACTAGTTACTTTTTATTCGAATGTGCCCTATAGTAGGGGTACATTTGAATCCATGCGGGGCACATTTGAATGAGTCTTTATATTAAAAAATGAACACACATAAAATTACCAATAAGTAAAAGTATTTTATTTTAATAAGTTTTCTTAGTAGGTACTTAATATAAAATAAAACATAACAGTTTCTCTAGAAAAATTAAATGTAGATAGTCGGGTTGAGTAGGTAGGTCTGCATGTAAACAGAAAATTAATAAAACTTTAAAATCTTATAGATATATAAATTCAACATTTACTGTTCTTTTTTTAACATAATTTCTTATCATTTTCTTAAAATAAAACACGCTTTATGAGATCATTATAATGTTAAAAACCACATCAAATCTACCCCACTTTGGAACATTCAATTGTATCCCATATTATATGTTTCAACAAATTTATAAAAAATTGTAAAATGAAATACAACATCACATTCCATAATATCCCATTTAAAAGAATATAATATTTTAATTTAGTATGTTTTCTTAAATACTTACTGTATGTTTTTGTTTTTTTCTCAAACTCTTATTAAAATGGTAATAAAATGGTAACAAAAAATTTAAAAACACAGTTTAATTTATAGTTATGAAAATATTAATAACAGATAGCTGATGAACATATACTGATGTCATATATTGGGTACAGTATGACTAACTTTCTGTCTTTTACTTGAATTTACTTTATCACTATAGCTAATTTTATTTAATCAATTCAAATCTACCTCGCATTCAAATGTGCCCCAATTTCTCCTACTAAATATATATTTTGAATCAAAAAAATTAATTGATTTTTAAAATTTGTATTTAAGACGAATAAGTTTTTTGGTATTGGATTTGTTACGTTGCTATTTGGGGATTGAGCTTAAACGCCCGTCAACAGTATTCTAAGAGACCAACGGGGGAAAGCTGTCTAGGCTATATCTACCTTAGGTACTAAGGTTTCCTATTTAATTTATATTCCCTTAGAGGAACTACCAAGGGTCGCTACACAATATATATATATAACACTCTTGGTTAACAACGATATAAATATTAATTAAGTAATTGAAATATTAAATAGATAATACAACCTGCTGGACACCTAGAGATGATATAATCCAACAGGGAGCTGATGGTGACACACACACACTATATATACGTGGTAGAAAAGTTAAGTTAATTATAAGACAAAAGTAGTGGTCGCGATGATGGTAAAAGGTCAACTGTCGATAGGGATATCTTATTATGGCACATAGGCCGTGAATTGCAAAAGTGTTTATGTGTGCAGTCCGCCCTCCTGTTAGTATTGTTGTATGTCACTGTGTTAATTATATATATATATATATGTCTATTAAACGGTACAATGATGTTATGGGAAACAGAGATATGGGCACATGCAAATGTGATCGTATCAGATTTCTTTAGGATTTTATTTCAGCATGATGATTATTTTTTAGTCTTTTTTAATACATTTGAAGAATTTTTTATAATTGGCAAACCACAGTAGTTTTCTGGGATCCCCCATCCAATGAAAACATAATTTAGACAGGGCAGAGCATCTGTACTATAAATACAATAAATCACAAGGGGGATTTTTAACCATTCAACTATGGCCTAACAGGCACAAGAACTATATGGCAATTAGTTGCTAATGGTGGCGAAATAAACATAAACCAAGTAAAAAATACACAAGGTGTGCGCAAGATTTCACTCGATTTTAGCGTGTTTGAACAATCGCAATCGAACGAGTATTAACACGAAGCAACCACGTTGGTTTTAACGATGACTTCTTTCGCATATCCGGTGGTGGCTTACCAAATTAATACAAAAATCATTGACAGAGTATTCAACAAATGTGTAACCAACATTATATATATATTAAAATTTGTTAAATTAAAGCAGTAGTACAACCACATAGGGAAGTTTATAGAATGACAACCATTCCTCGCATAATGATTCATTGTTCTTGTAAATTGTCACAATTCTGAATCAATTCTTATAAATGTAATACATTTTTTTTTGTTTATCGACTTATTTTTAAGCATTTATATAAAATTTTCATTAGATAAGGAATACCTTTCTTGGATCATTGCGGGATAACATTTATATAGTAATGAATTCATCAAGTATTTCGCAAACTAAGTCAATTTATTATCAATGCAGCTTAAACAATGATCTATAATTTTTAATTTAGAATTAAACCATATAACATAATATACAAACTTTTATTTATTTGCAATAAAGAATTAATTTTACGTTTCATAGCCAACCCAAATATATTTCTGAATTCTAAAAAAATAATCAAAAATATTATTTATTGATTAATAGTAACTAGATGTCATTTTTTTTATTCAATACATGGAAAAATTCAACTTAAAAATGAATTATTTATTATAAGCTATAACGAATACCAATTATAATAAAAACAAACAGGTATATCAGCTATTTTTATATTCTATAACTCAATTTAATTGTCTTCAATACATTTTATTCCTGTATAATAAAAACTATACAGAGTGATTCTTTTAACAATAGCTAATCAATATCATATAACTTGGAAATTTTTTAGCTTCAATGCGAAGCTGATAATGTATTAATTTTAATATGATGTGTATTTTTTTGTGTTTGTTTCCACTTTTTCTCAGCTATCACTGGACCGATTTCTTTTAACACACGTAAAAATATCATAAATCGTATCCAGTTGGAGAAATTACCATAAAAATTTTTTTTAATTTCCCTCGTTATCCGTAAATGGGTGAAATCTCCAAAAAAAATTTACTAATTTAAAAATCGCTAATTTTTTCAATTTTTTTTTTTTAATTGTCATAACTTTTATGAAATGACCAAATCAATACATGAAGTATCAATCTATCATTTTAAAATTTTTTTTTATTAATTAGACCCTTTACCTGCCCACAGGGGGGATCAAAACTACAACTTTTTCTAAAAAAAATAATTTTTGAAAGTGTTCCGGATATAATCCGAGGTTTAAATATATGTCAAATTAAAGCGTACTATAAACGTATATTATTACATACTATAAGTTAAAAAAAAAATTTGTCTTGATGACCTATCTTTTATGTACAAATGACCGTCGAAATTGAACAAATTTATTCATACATTACACTAATATATCATAAGAATTGTAAAAAGGATATAAATAAGGAAGTAGGAGTTTATTGCTTCCAGAATAATCCAACATTTTCTTAAAAATAAACAATAACAACAGATTTGCATCGAACCGTTATGATAGTGATTTTAATCACTGTTAGATATCATATATACTTGTCCCATCCATGCCTCGTCCACACTGTGCCTCGACCCCACTGTGCTACTGTTTTTTTAAGTTAAATATTACCTTTATATTAAATTTTGTAAAATTGATTTAACTATATTAGATAGTTCTTCCAATGAAGTGTATAATTAATAACTGAGATAAGAACAAAGAGCACTAATAAGTTTTTAATTGTTTTTTTAGTAAAATGTGCCCCATTAACAGGGAACGAGGAAAATTTTTTCAATTTTTAAAAACAATATCTTAATCTAGATACGATTTGTGATCTTTTGATATATTGTTAAAAATATCAGTCTAATAAGAGCTGAGAAAAAGTAGTGAAAGACACAAAAAAAAAAAAAAACACAACATAGTAAAATTAATATTTTCTCAGTTTTGCTACGAATCTAAAATTATTTATAATTTTTATTTTACCTATCCAATTGATATCATCAGAATTTTTAACATTACATTCAATCATTAGTTCAATAACATCTTCTACTTCGCTTTTGACATTTAATATTTTAAGAACAATAATTAATTCTTTTATAGTCAGCTTTTCATCTATCATACTATCCCAATAAATATCTCTAATATTTGTTTCAACTTCTATGACACATTTCGACATTTGTTTCATAAATATATTCTCATCCATATATTCGTTTACTAAATAAAATAAAAATGACGTGTTAGTTTCGATGCGAAGTTGAGAAGATATTAATTTTACTATGATGTGTTTTTTTTTATTATTATAATTTATTTTTTTGTGTCTGTGAACGCTCATGCTGTGAAGCTTTCGCTGGATCGATTTTGATAAACAATACGTCAAAATATCACAAATCGTATCTAGTCCAAGACATTACCCTCAAAAATTGAATAAAATTCCCTCGTTTCCTGTAAACGGATAAAATCCGCCAAAAACTTACAAATTCAAAAATCGCTAATTTTCTACATTTTTAAAAATTTTTTTACTTAAATTTGCCATAATTTTTTTAAAAATGACTGACTCAATATAATTTTTTTTTCCTCGATATCTTAGGTATTTACCTATCATTTTATATATTTTTGTGAACATTTGACCCTTAAGCAGCCCACTGGAAGGGTTTAAAAATGGTAACTTTTTTCCAAAAAATTAACTTTTTCAACTTAACTTAAGAAAATGATCCGGAAACACTGACACTTTTATAAATATCTTAAATTAAAGTTATGTAATATACTTTAATTTGAAAAAAAAAAATTTGTCTCCATGATAAAAATAACTACCGTATTCAAAAATATGCTATTTTTGTGTGTAAAACTCTGGATTTTCTATTTTATTTTATTGTAAAATACCTGACAAGGGGAGTACAGATTTTCATAAATATTATATAAATAAAAAATTGATTACATAGCAAGGAATTTTTTGCATTTTTTCTTAATTCTTTTTAAGTAAGAATAAATTTTCAACTGCTTTGATTTTAACTCATTTAAATTCAATGACCATTTTCACCACGAAGACAAGTCCAGAGATAAATTTTTTTTTTCAAATTAAAGTATATTACATAACTTTAATTTAAGATATATATAAAAGTGTCAGTATTTCCGGATCATTTTCTAAAGTTAAGTTGAAAAAGTTAATTTTTTGGAAAAAAGTTACCATTTTTAAACCCTTCCAGTGGGCTGCTTAAGGGTCAAATGTTCACAAAAATATATAAAATGATAGGTAAATACCTAAGATATCGAGGAAAAAAAAATTATATTGAGTCAGTCATTTTTAAAAAAATTATGGCAAATTTAAGTAAAAAAATTTTTAAAAATGTAGAAAATTAGCGATTTTTGAATTTGTAAGTTTTTGGCGGATTTTCCCCGTTTACAGGGAACGAGGGAATTTTATTCAATTTTTGAGGGTAATGTCTTGGACTAGATACGATTTGTGATATTTTGACGTATTGTTTATCAAAATCGGTCCAGCGAAAGCTTCACAGCATGAGCGTTCACAGACACAAAAAAAATTAAAAAAAAAAAAAAACACATCATAGTAAAATTAATACCTTCTCAGCTTCGCATAGAAGCTAAAATTCTCATGAAAATTGATAACATTCCAAAGACCGGCTATAATTCAAATAAAAACAGTAACAATACTTATTCTAACTGAATTAGAGTTTATTTTTATGAGTCTAGATCAATATTAAACCAAGTTTGAAGTCTATTGTATTTACAAACTTGGTATTAATACGATTATAAGAAATTTGATAAAGCAATTGACACGGTACCGTGTTTCCCTCAGCCACACATCACGTTATCAACCTTAATAAAAGTGTATCGGGATCTGAATCATAAGTGCATAGTGGCCTAGTGGTAAGGTTTGTTTATACGGCGTCTTGGGTGGGTCGCGGGTTCTAATCCCGTACAGTGCCACTTTTTTTCACATGACTTCCGGTACACTTTCTATAACCGGCACTCAATTCCCGGCGGTTGTGTTACAATTATCAAATAATTCGAGAAATAGCACACTGCAATCTGACTAACTTTAAATATTCTCATACCTAATGAAATTGAAACTTATAATCTAAGTATAAATTAGGAAACTAATTAAGTAATTTCTCTTAAACTTAAATAAAAATTCATTACTGTAGATACTTATGGATTAATTTATTTATTCTGTGGTAGTACTTGTATTATTATTGTGATACAATGAAAAAATATGCAAATACATAAAATTTATAGCATAAATTATAATTGTATTCGTTGAAAATTCAACTTTATATTCATAGTTAGAGTTTTACTTACTGTTTTTAACTTCATCTGTGAATAGTTTTTTGATGTCGCTATCCTTTATAGTGTATATCAGTGTACACATTTCAAAATATTTTTTTGAATTTAATATAGTTTATACCATTATCATTTATTTTATTTGCATTAAACAAATATCGTAATGTGTTCAAGCCTATATCATTCAAAGACCATTTCTAAAATAAATTAAATAAGATTAGAAGTAATGTTTATACTATTTAGTAATAATATATTTTTTATTAATTAAAATTACTTATTATTTAATTATTTATAATAACCCAATACAGCAGGGACAAGTCTAGATTGATGTCTAACAGTGATTAAAATCACTCTTATAAATTAATTAATTTCTGGGGCAATTAGAACGGTTTTAGTACATTCAACATAGATTGTCTATGTATGCAATCATACGCCTTCTTGAAATCAATAAATAGTACATGTACTTCTTTGTTAAACTCCCACATTTTTTGGAAAATTTGTTTCAAAAAAAGTATCTGATCTGTGGTAAATCTATTTTGTCTAAAACTAAGGCTGGCCGACCCTAAGTTCTTTGGATTAAGGCAAAGAAAAAGAAAAAGAGTATCAGATTCCGGTGGCAATTGACATAATACGATTGTTGTTTGGGAATGTACAATTTAGCATTTAGTTGGGTTTAAACAATATAGTGTCAAATCAATTACCTACTCTATCGGTTGTATCTTAGTATACACTACACTTAAATGATACTATAAATAAATAAACTTACATATACATTTATATGCATTTATAACATTGTGTCTAATGTATAACATGATAAAAAGTAACCGTTAAATGAAAAACATGGAATATAAATTTTAGTACTCATATTAAATGTAATGTAATTCGAAAAATATATGTTTAAATGAAAAAATATATGTTAATTTTAGCTTCGATGCGAAGTTGAGAAGGTATTGGTTTTACTAAGATGTGTTTTTTTTTTTTTTTTTTTTT